TGGTAGCCTTTAGTAACCTTTGATAGCCTTTGGTAATGTTTGGTAGCGTTTGGTAATCTTTGGTAGCCTTTGGTAACCTTTGGTAATGTTTGACAATGTTTGGTAACCTTTGGTAACTTTTGGTAGCCTTTGGTAAGATTTGGTAAAGTTTGGTAGCCTTTAGTAACATTTGGTAAAGTTTGGTAGCCTTTAGTAACCTTTGATAGCCTTTGATAATGTTTCGTAGCCTTTGGTAACCTTTGGTAATCTTTGGTAGCCTTTGGTAATCTTTGGTAGCCTTTGGTAATCTTTGGTAGCCTTTGGTAATGTTTGATAGCCTTTGGTAGCCTGTGGTAACATTTGGTAGCCTTCGGTACCAATGGGCACAAGGAGAAGAAATGGACTGGACCAGCTCCCTCTAGTAACACAGATATCCAACACAAACTGTACCTTGCGTCCCTTTTTGTGAATGTTGTTGATTATATTTTTGACTTCATCTGCATACGACGTGGCTGGATCAGGGTGCTCTGCCCGGTATTTACCTCTGTACACATCTGGGCTGGGAGCCTGTGTGGGACACAATCGTATAATAAATGTGATTAGATTCACAACAACAAAAAGGCCAAAACAGACAAATGTCATTAATTTTTTTTTTGTAATTTGTTTATATGTCTTAGCAGTAAGTTTGATGTTGTTTAGGGTGTATTTTTTAAGGTTCCCTGCACAACACGCAGGTGTTTTAATGTCACGACTGACGGGAGTCATCCAAATGTCAAAAGAATAGATGAAATATCTTAAATATTGTTATCTTGTTAGACTAAACACTTTTTTTTGTCTTTCAGTCACAATTTGTTGTTCGCTGTCATGAGATTGTGCATTTCTCAGTGTGTGTAAAACATATTGTGAAACTCTCAAAGAGTAATCCCTGAATGTACATCTACAACTGATAAACTTTTGAAGTCAACATGATTCAAGATGACCGCCAGAGCTAATCAGCCCTGTAAACACATCAACGGTGATAACTCAGCTAATTTCAAAGAAGCTGAGCTAAAATTTGGTAGAGTAGTAGCTGAGAGTCATCCCCAACGTATACTTGAAGAACTAACTCATTGCACTTTGTTTTTAAAACTGTGCCTCCAATTGGGGTCAACTCTTTCTGTCTGTTAGCAAAATATATCACAAACCAGAGGATGAATGGTAGTGAAACTCTCATAAAGTAACTGATGGATGAACGTCTTCAACTGGTTAACTTTTGCACTCAGCCCAATTCAAGATGGTCACCACAGCTAACTGAACTTAATGAACACAAAAATAGCTACAACTCAGCTTTACAGATATTTAGTTTTTATTTTATTTTATTTTTTTAAATCACAGCACACAAGGTGGTAGGTCCGAGGTGGTTGCTGGATCGACCCCGATGTGCCCCAAACACTCGGCTGACTTTCCCCGGTGGCTGACTTGTGGGGCAGGCGAGACGGGCGGTGGGAGAAACTGAACTCTCACCACATGGACAAACTGACTCTGCTCTGCATCCGACAGCTGGTGGAACTTATAGGGACTGATGTCGATTAGCGATGACACATGGCCGTGGTATGCACTGCAAAAACAGGCCGTGTTTTTTACTTACTGAATTCTTGGATAAAATCGATCACTCTGTGGTTCTTACTTTTCCAACGTGATGATGTCTTTGTTGCCCGTGAACTGCCTCGCCAGTCGGAGGGCCAGATCGTTGGCTTCAGAGCTGAAGGGACAAGGGTTACATGAAGTTACTCAGTCACCACAAAACACACAGGTGAAGCCATGGATATCTCTTGCTGGACCTCATGCACAGTTTGTTATTTTATGTCTTCATGTGTGAGCACAAGAGGCAAACACCTCCTGGTTAAAAGGTCACGAGTTGGAGCTTTGGTTTGCTGCCATAGCTGCTTGAATTTTGTTTGTTTTTTAAAATTGTTGTTTTTCATTTGTATATTTTGTAACTCTTTTAAAAAAAAAAAGAAAAAAGAAAGAAAGCTACAGGCTATTTATGCTTTACAATTCAGTGGTTCCCAACCCTGGTTCTTGATTAACACCATCCTGCATGTTTAAGTGGTTTCCCTGCTCCAACACACCTGATTCAGTGATTTAATTACTTCCTCTCGTTCTGCAGAAGCCTGTTAATCACCCATTTATTAAAATCAGGTGTGTCTTAGCAGGAAAAAACTAAAACATGCAGGATGGCATTCCCCAAGGACCAGGGTTGGGAACCCCTGCTTTATGTAAACAAGGAATATATATATATATATATATATATATATATATATATAAAATGGTAGTTCAACCATTATAAAGTTCTGTTAAAAAAACAAAAAACAAACTATAAACAATTAATGTCTTACCTGTAATTAATAAGCTAGTTTGGAAACAGCTAAAACACAACGAAAACTTAAAACTAAAGTCTCTAAAATTTAACTTAAAGATTTCGTGCAATTGCTATTTTAGGAACTTTTACACTGTTGCTAATTTTGCATAACCATAATGTATGTGGGTTTTTATGGTTGTTTTCAAGCGTAAATAAATAGCAGCAGCAGCACTTCCAGCAGGTGTATCAGAATATTTCTGCAGGAATAACCATTTAAAGCTAAATTGACGGTGGTGTAAAGATTCATAAAATTATGTTTGTCGGCTGCGTTTGAAAGAACTGCTTTCAGGAATGGGCGTTTATAGAAAAAACACTCTCAAAATTAGCGTTGGAAAAATTAGGGTTGTAATTAACCCTAACTCTATAACCAACTGTTCATGCTTCTCACAGGCCACACCTGTTTCATGTTCATTAATTACAAGAACCAACTGATTCAAAGCAGAGGAACCATCTGAATTCATGCTAATCTCAGCTACTGCTGTATTATTTAGAATCATTGCCTGTTTTATTTATGTTGCTAAAAAATAGAGTCCACATGATTTGGAGTTGAAGTGAATTTAACTGTCCTGCTGCCCTTGAGTCAAAATGACCCACAAAGCCTTGGTTTGTAGGGCAGCAGAAGACACAAAGTTTACTCACCCTAAAGTCCCGCAGCTGAAAAAATCTAATGAAACAAAGGCTTCAGGTGCAGAGACATGTGCTGCTGCTAACCCTGTTAGCAGGGCAGCTTTGAATTTCTTTATTTTCACCAGTTTAATGGATCAACATAGACAGGGGTGAACGTATTCGGACTGTAATGCTGAGCCCACCTGTAACTATAGTTTCCACTTTACAAGCCTTTCAAAATAAATTATAATTGCAGAAAAGACCGGGACACACAAGTTCTTTTTTTTTATTTTTTATTTATTTATTTATTTATTTATTTTTTTTAATGTGTTGTCAAAAAAAGTGTAGCTAAGAAATAAAGTGGCCTCTCCCTACAAGATGTCAGCTTACAAAAAAAAAAAAGACTCGGACAGTTGCATTATTGTTTGCATTTGTCCATTTTAACTTGACTTTTACTTTTGAAGATTCAATGCCCATCTCTAGCTATTCATTCATTCAACCTTTATTTATACAGGTTAATCCCATCGAGCCCCGGGGACTCATTTACAAGTGAGACCTGATTTTAACAAAGAGTGATGACAACAGTAGACGACAAAGACAACAGCAAACAATCATAAGAATATATATTGAGAAGAACAAATGAAAGAAAATGGTATTAGCTCATCATTTCTCCAAACTGAGGCAGATCAAAGAGCTATCTACAACAGGTAAGATAATTATTCACAACCTCTCCACAGAACTTTACTTAAAAACGGATAAACTGCTCCTTTAATTGAACAATTTAATTAGTTTTTTGGTAACCGGACTGGTCACACCTGAGCCAACTATAAAAGTCAGGCACATCTGTAAAAGGTAAAACATTACACTGCAAAAATTCACCTTCAAGTCAACGTGCCACTCGAGTGAGGATACCTTTCACAATAAGAGCGTGTTTCTGGTACAGTATTAGTTGACATGAATTTTTTTTTTAATGTAGCACATTTTAATGTGTTTGGATCTTAAACATTTATATTTAAGAGAAAGAAAAACAAACCAACAGACTGGTAAAAGTCATGTTGGAATCGGCTGTTAAAGCAGCTCTAATCAGTCGATGTCTGACGCGATGTAATCATTGTTAAAGATCACGGTCTTTCCTGCACGAACTGTAAGTTCAGATTTTGTACTGAAACCTTAACGGTCCCTCTTTCCGGCCGGGTTTACGACCTCCCTCTGCACTGATATGAACCCTGGGTGGTGTTACGAGTTCCTGAGTCATTATCTACGTAATTTATCCAGACACTTCACTCTGTACTCGCACCAGTACTTTAGCGGGATTTTGTAAATAAGTAACCCAGCTGAACCGGAGCAGATTGATAAACAGGACTTTTAGGAAACCGCTAATGCTGAATGTGCACATTATCTTTCATCTGTTCGCTCCCAGTGAAGTTCGCTCCAAGACAACTTGTCATCTGTTCACTGTGAATCAAATAAAACTATGTTCCTCGCACCAACTAGACACCGAAGTGAAAGGAACAAGAACAGGTTTGGCTAGTTTGTGTGTATAAAATGTAAAATATCTTAAATACCCAGAGTTGACGAAGTAGCACACGGAGAGCTTGTCGGGCAGCGTCGCCTGGAGCTTCTGCGCAAACAGAACGAGGTTGTCGTGTAAGAAGCGAGTGTTGGTGTTGAGCACTTCCATCTGCCGAGCTCCAGCCTTCACCACGTCCGGATGACAGTGACCCACTGAGAAACCGGAGAAAAACACAACATCATACAAGATTTAAAAAATTATACACAATTAAAAATCCCGGCTGAGTTAAATGTCTGGCAGCCATGTCGCTCGGCGCCCTGCATGGAGTTCTGGTCAAACGTAGAAAACAACACTCTGCACAAGACGTCACGCAGCATGTGGTGAATGACTCTCAGATACTACCACAAATTATAGCTCGGTGACCATGTTCAGTTGGTTTGACTCCAAAACATTAATCGTAAATGCGCTTCTTGTGACGACTTCAAGCAAGTTTCACTAAAATTAGTCCAGTTGTTATTGAGACATTTTGTTAACAGATGGGTTCATGCGCCTTTCAGCAATAAATAATTTAAATGCATGAAAACTGAATTTTGTTAGAAATCCAGGCAGCAATCAGCGTTACCGAGTATTCCTGAGTCAGCAAAACCCATCTGGATCATCTCACCTCATCTCAGAGTGACAGCGGGGCTTACATAACCCTAAAGAATTTAAATATTTTTGTTCATATTTAGTCATAATTACCATGAGCCACATTGTTGATGCAGTCCAAGTAGCGCTGTCCCTGTTCATCGTACATGTACTGGCCTTTGGCTCGCACAATCTTGATGGGGTCATGGCTGAAGAAGATCTTACAGGACGGTCTGCAGAGGAGCAGAAATCAACTCGAATGTGACGCTTCTTTCAAATCTAGAAGGCCTGATATTAGAAGTTATGGCTACAACAGTAAAGAGCTGTTAGATAACTGCATCACTGCCGCTCTTAAGTAGGTTAATTAGTTTTGGCTGAAATTAAAATATTGGAATTTTATTATGTAAAAATGTACAGTATTAAAGTTTTGTGTATAGAAGTATCACTGTAATTATGTCTTAGTAAGAGGCTTCTGAAAACTAACTGCTGTCTGACTTCTGTAAAACAAGAGGTGGACTCCTTTTGGGAGGTTTTCTTACCCGATGTGTTTCTTCCTCAGGTCTATCGTCTTCCTCTTCTCTAACCTTTCAGCAGGCATGATGACAGCTGGAAAAGTCCTCGAGTCACATCTGTTCCAGCACTAATGACCTGTTATATACACTCTGCTCACGCAGCACTTCACTGCTCCTGAAAGTATGGAAGCTGAAAGATGCCAAAAAAAAAAAAAAAAAAAAACCTTTTACAATCTAGTCACAAAAAGAAAAACATGTTTTTTTTTTTTTACAACAGTTTATAAGTTGTTCAGCAAACTATAAGAGCAGCATATTACCACCGTTTTATTTTTAGACACAAAACTATTTAAATAAATATTTAAATATTTGAAATGCAAGTTCATTTAAAGGTTGTGAATGATTAACATCTTACCTTGGTCTCTTCAGATGAGCTAATGGATTACTGGGGCAGGGCCAAGACCAAAGCTTAAACAACTCCAATTTCACACATTTCATAATGTTTTTTCTGAATGTTGTTTTGACCACCACCAACTTTGCTTTTACAGTTACATACAGAAAATTATGTTGTTAGTGCAACTCAGGGGTGATTTTAGCCTCTTTTTGGGGGTGCTGAAGCGCCCGTAAGTTTTAACTCAGCACCCCTAAAATAAAAGAAACTCATTAGGATTTTACAACTTCTCCTACACCATAACCCTCAGTATTGGCTCCCCTCAGGGCTGTGTGTCGAGTCCCCTCCTGTTCACTCTTCAGGAAGAACAACCTCCACATCAATGTGAAGAAGACGAAGGTGATTGTGTTGCTCCGTCTGAAATCCACAATAACTACCCCCCCCCCACCCCCGAACATAGGAGAATCTGCGGTGGAAGTGGTCTCCAGTTACAAGTACTTGAGTGTTACATTACAAATGCTTCTGACACCAATGGCCACCTCGTTGTTCAAGCAGAGTCATTGTCAACACTGGGGGGGCTAAGCACCCCTAAAGGGCAGATTCTAGAATGGCCCCCGGTGCAAACAGTAGCAGCAGTAGTTAGCTGTAAAACTTAATCTGCAGCCTGAGGGCACTTATATCAGTACTATCAGAATATATTTCTGTTTTGCTACGACTTTCATTCTTCTTTCAAGTGCATACTGCCAACTCTCTAGGTTCTCTTCCACCTGTCCCCTGTTCTCATCACAGATTAGAGCTGTCATTTCTAACCCGAACTCGGAGCCTGGCTTCTTCTGACCCAGATTCGGGCCGAGCCGAGCCATAATAATGTGCTTAATGTGTGGGCCGGGTCAGTGTTGGGCTTTTTGTTGCATCAGGAATGCGCGCGGCCGATGATCCAATATATGCAAACATGGCTTGCCATACTGCACCTGCCGCACGTGGCCATTTGACCGCGCACTGATTGGCTGGTTGAAAAGAGGTAAAAAGTTCTGTTAAGCTTCAGATGGACTACTGCCAGCAATCCATCAGCCCAAATGGACGTTCATTCAGCCGCTGCACTCAGCAGACGTGCGCAGCCGAGACCCAAACAGGTGAGATCACACAATGTCTGACATGTCAGAGCAGGGTTTAATGCATGCAGAAGCAGGGGAAGCATTTAATGCGCTTTGACGGCTCTTCAGCTCTGATCTTCTGCCCCATCAGCTGCGCACATCTGCCAATCGTTAATAAAAGTTTGTGGTATAAGCAAAGTTTAATTACAAATGTTTTTTTTTTTCAGGTTCGGACCTGTAATTACTGTTAATTCGTCGGATCAGGTGGGGTTCGGAGATGATGGCTACAGGCTGAGGCCGGGTTAGTTCAGATTATTTGGACCCCAGTGCAACTCTACCACAGATCACGTCATCTGCAAACATCATAGTCCACGGGGACTCCTGCATGACCTCGTTAGTTGGTCCATCACCAGAGCAAACAAGAAGGGGCTCAGAGCCAATCCTTGATGCACTCCCACCTCCACTTTGAAGCAGTCACTCCTTCAGCACATCTCACCACTGTCCTCATACATGTTCTGTACCAGTCTAACCAGTCTAACATACTTCTCTGCCACTCCATATTTCCTCATGCAATACCACACCTCCTCCCTTAGCACCCCGTTATGTTTTTTCCAAATCCACAGACAATGGAGTTCTTTCTGACCTTCTCTGTACTTCTCCACCAGCATCCTCAAAGCAAAGGTGGCATCTGTGGAGCTCTTTCTTGGCATGAAACCATACTGCTGCTCACAGTCACCTCTCGTCTAAGTCTTACTTCCACAACTCTCTCCCAGATCTTCATCGTGTGACTCATCAATCCAATTCCCCTGTGGTCGCTACAACTCTGTACATCACCCTTGTTCTTAAAATTTGGCACCAGCACTTCTCCATTCCTCAGGCATTGTCTTGGGTCTCGTCTCTGCCAACTATGGCACATAAGAGATGACAAACCGTATTCTGAAAAGAAACAAATAAATAAATAATAAAGCGGCACAGCGTTTGGTGTATTTGAAAGACTGTTTATTTGGCTCCAACAGTACAGTCATGAAATATCAACTTGAAATACAGTTTGTGATAATAAGGGTCTTAAGAAAAGTCAATCAAGTGGGTAGGAACAACGTAGTATGAAAAAAACCTTTAAATAAATCACAACCCAAAAGAAAAGTAATGATATTTCTAAAACTTTAAGCACCAATGAAGATTTTACTTTAGATTCATCGTTACGTACCGGATCATACAGAGCTGCAAGATTTCACACAGTCTGACAAGAATGTAAATGTATTATCCTACCACTAACTTCGCACTTAAACAAGTCGAATACTTTACTTTTATGGGAGTAATTTTACTTCGTCTTTATGGACAACGTTGAAACAGAACCTTTCTGCAACAGAACATATATATTCCAGAGTTTTTGAACATTCCCTCGTGCGATTGTGCAGCTCCTTTAACACCGACATGATAAAACATTGGCACTTCTATTAGTAGCTTCATAAACTAAACTTTAACGTCAAACTCAAACAAAAAGTATTAAAAAACAACAATAGCTGCACGTTTAAAAGATACAGCACCTTGTGAGGACAAATACTGTAATAAAGAATGGAAATCCAAAACACAAAATAAAAAAAAATTAAAAAAAAATTATAAATGGCAACAGAAATAACACTGAATTATAAATGTGGGGGGAGAGTTTGAAGCAAAAATGATGTAAATTAAGGTTAAGTTAAACATTTGCTTCCTTGTCTCCCAGTAAATAAACATTTCGTCGCAGGTAGTGGTATTCACGGCCAAACAAAAGGAGATATAAATCACTGTAATGTGATGGATTTTTTTCTTCCAAGCAGCATTTGATGCTACACACATGAACCAAAGTATAAATTGCACTTTGTCAAATGAGCACACATGTACATTAATAATCCACTATACACATTTCAATCTACATTCAATGCAAAGAGACAAAGAGCAAAGAGAGAAAGTGTGAGCGAAGGCTGTCAGACCTAACGGTGAGTTGTTGCAACGGCCGCACCCCAATTCAGACCATCAGTTCTTTGTTGCCTTTTCTTTGACACATAAAACGATAAAAAGCAGATGTATGCATGTCATGGTAACGTACCACGCAGCTTCCCTTCCCTCTGTAGTGTTTCATTATGAGCGTCAAAGTAACAAAAAAAAAAATCAACAAAAATCAGACATAGAGCTGAAAGGAATGCTGAAAAATGCCTTCATTGAAGAAATGATAGAAAAATAAATAATGCAGCATTGAGAATACTGAATCAAATGCACAAACATATTGTATGCACACAAAACACTCAAAATCACATTTATAAATCTGCAACATGTAAAGAAAGATTGTTCATGCACAACTGTTGACTATCAGTGTGCATCGATCCTTCATCACCATGAGAGGAGCTTTAAAACCGAACAGAAACGATACAAAACTAGATCCAGCTGTTGCTGCATCTCAACCAAATGTTGGATTTGCACAACCTGCTCTGACGGTGCATTATCTGTACGGTTTAACAAAACAAGAAAACAAACAAAAGAAAATTTGCAAAGCACCTGAATAGATCAATTTAACACTTGAAACATGCTGTAGTGAATAAACTGAATCTAAAAATCTGTTTATTTTTGCTCCATATGAATTAGGAATGTGACAAAACTGGCCAAAATGTATTAATGGAAGATGAGTTCATGATTTCTGTGTAATTCTGTGCGTAGTGTAATCTAACTGGTGCTTTCTCTGTTTTCTTTAGAAGTGGGGTTCAGTGAAAAAGTTAATGAACAGTTTTTACAGTTGGACTGTTGTAGATAACTGCTTAAAAAACCTCAGTTCGGAAAAATAGTGTTTCATTTGAGTGAATTGACAAGCTAACCGCCAGTGCTTAATTTGTAAACCAAACGATGCCGGAACACAAACAGGGGTTGGGGGTGTCTGGGGGGTCAGAAATTTTTCAACAGATGCCATTTCAAGCATCCTGGTGTGTTTTAACAGACTGTTAAATATCTACGCTTACCTACATTTGTAAACACCTGATTCAAAAACTATTTTAGAGAGCAACAAGAAGTAGCCTGACCAACAGCTCTCCTTGTGTGAATAAAGAACAATCCGCTTCTCTCAAGCATCCTACCCCCTCCCCGGGCTCTGAATCTCCACCCCTTTAGGGGCGGAGACTTTTTAAGGGTAAAAGCGGAAATGCTTACTTGAAGGGGCAGCTCTTATGTTATAATAGGATGCTTGTAAGTGGCTGTTATATTTAAAATGAGTATGTATGTAATTATTTTCAGTTTACTTATCCAGTATATGTTATATTCGTTCAAGGCAGTCAAATTTGTTCATAACTTTATTACTTGTAAACCTGAGAGTTACCGGATCCAAGCAGTTACCAGAACACACTGTCAAAATAAGAGAGCTCCCAGATTCAGTTCCGGCAGGATCCAGCTCAAATTAAGCCCTGCTAACCGCTAATAAGATAGCAGTCAAGACCAAAGGGGGTTGCTGACGTCTTGAAACAACTCTAGTTTAAAGAAATTCATACTAATGCTATTTTATAAACTTTTACATGGCTATTACTGTCACATTAAACAATTATTACTGCAGAAATTGTATATGATAGTGTCCAGGATGCAACAGAAGTGCTACAGCTAGCTCCTGCTGCTAATGCTATGTGTGCAAGCAAATACCCATGAAATTCTCTGTTAAAAAAAAAAAAAAATCCTGAATTGTGAAACTGATTTCAACATAAAGTTTTCAAATAACATTAATGTAACTATGAAAATGTTAAGGATGGAGTCATTTTAGGGCAGCAGAGATGCTCTCTAGTCTCGGATTGCTAGGATTAGCCGCTAGCTTGTCCACCTATTTAGAATCAAATTATATTGCAAACTGGAGCAGCTCAAAAAGCTGATATTAACAGCTCACAAGAACCCTACTTCTAAAAATCTTGATCATTTTAAGATAATATATGAAATGTAAAAAAAAATACTGGATGTTGGAACATAAAATTTCCTTGTGACATCTTAAAAACTAGCTAGATCAGAATCTTTTGAAACCAAATTTGAAATGATCCTTTTAAGTTTTAGATGCACTTTCTCAAATTATTGCCAAAACTTACAAAACCATTATATAGTAAACTGTGTTCATGCAGCAAACTGACAATACTGTACAAATAAAACTCCATTCATTGACTTGTGAGTGAGAGAGTAGCATATTTGGAAAAAAGCTTCTTCAAAAACCAAGACCATCAGTGGCTTTACAGTCAAGATGGATGTTGTGTAAGCTCAAGTGAAAGTTATCTTGTTAAAAAAATTCCCCTAAAACAAAAACAGTGTGCAACGTCTTTTCAATCATCTCATGTATTACCAAAAGAAAGCTTCCCTTTCTGAAATATACACTATTAACGTGGTTCAAAACAAGATATAAATTTGTACATTTCTGATAAAGGAATGAATAAAAGCTTGAGGCACCAAAGGCTATCATACACAAAAATACAAATGATACATAAAAAATCAGAGAGAAAAAAAAAAAAAAAGAAAAAAAAAGAAAAAGAACATGGTTGCGTTCCATCTGAAGACCTCGAAGTGTCGTCCGTCAAGAAAGAAGTGACAGAAGCTTCGGCTGATCTCGAAGGGAGCCGACGGCCACCCTTCTGTTCTCTCGCTCGGAGGGATTACCGAGCACCCCTGTCCAGACACAAATCTTTGCGAGATTGATTTGTTTCCTCTGCTCTCGTCCAGAGATGTATGTTGTCTGCTGGAGGCAGTGAACTGATGGAGCTGTCGACCCTCACGGTGCAACAGCGAGAGCCTGCTGAGAGCTGAGCGCTCTACAGGCGTCGCCACAATAAATCAAGAAACACCAACCAAATATCTCAGGCTACCAGCCATGGTGTGACTCCCTTAGGAAGATTGAAGGAAAACAGAAAATTACCATCTCAGAGCTTTTGGACGTCTTGAGTTTTGTTTTCCTGAAGCAATGATGCAACCACAAAAGTGACATTTATATACATCACATTTAAATATTCTACTCATGCTTCTTTAACGGTCGGGGAGGCAAAGTTCAGCTCAGCTTCTTTTTTTTTTTTTTAGTCTTTGAGCAAACGATGCTGTATGAACCGGTGGTGAGCTTGTTGAAACAAAACAACACACAACACCTAGCGCTTGGTGTTACGGAGCTAGTCCACATCCATCCTTCGTCCATTTACTCCTCGTTTCACCTCCCCCACAAAGGATCTGGCCGGATGGCATCGCTCCAGTTTTTAGCCATGCAAAAACTAAAGACAAGTTCTGCCGTCAGCCGAGGATCCGAGCGCCACCGTGATGTGGATGTGAGACAGCAGACACACACAACGATTGGTTTCCACACAGCGAGGTGAGTAGACGTAGCTTACGGGGATTATCTCTTTTGTTGTACACATAGACTTCTTTTTCTTTTTGACTTCCATTAAAAAACTATAAATACCATAAAAGAAGCATTATTTACAAACTCCATGCGTTTCAGGTTAGAGTGATCACTGCAAGAAAAAACAGAAGTGAAAATTACAAGGGTTGAAACTTGAAAATGGTTTCCTGACTTTGGCCGAATCCCATTTAACCCCTTCTATCTTACCGTTCTGTTATTTACTCTGTGGAGTTAGGGGTTCACAAGTCTCTTGGTTTCGTAAAGTGGTAGGGGCTAAAAAATTAGTTTTTCCAGGGATACGTTTCAAATAAATGGGTTTGAGCTGCATTAGCAAATAACTCAAAAATATAAACATTTCTCCAAGAAAAAAGTTTTATTGTCACATGAACTATTGTTATCTCAAGCATGATGGCCACATGATGGAGTATTAGTGCCACTCAAAGAAAAAAAAAGAAGGAGAAACACCTTTTTCATTTGCCATTCATTAAAATTAAGTAAATGTTGAGAATAAAGCTGTTTTCTGAATATAAATTTGAATACAAAATAAACTTACAATGTGTAAAGTCCTACAATAGCCATATGCTTTGCTTAATTGAGCTTTTGAAGTATGTTGTGGCTGCGTATGGTTCTTCCACATGCTACTGAGGCCCCGTTTGTTAAATGAACAAATTGCTAAATTGGTAATAAGAGTTAGTTTCTTCAGATTTCAATAATTCAATCCAAAAAAACAATGCCAAACATTGGTCTATAGTAGAATAAGCTGTTTGGCAGAGAAGATTTGCAAAGATTTTCATGAGCACACCCAACCTCTTCTGAACACATACACGTGGCAGCAATAAGGGGAAATAAACAGGCTTTCCAACAATATGAGCTAATGTGTATTGCAAAGAAGCATTGTCACAAAAAAACAATCAACCAAACACAAAATTATTTAACTTTTTTTTTTGTTGTTGCTAATTTTAAATCTATTGAAGTTCAACAACTGATGAGGCAAAATCTTTTAAAAAGGTGTTTCAGTTTGTAGTGGAATATTTTACTCATTGAGACTTTGAATTAGGAGCCAAAGGGATGGGGCAACACTACAAAATGGGATTTGGCCTTTGAGTTGCACATTTTGTTTTTAACTCAGTGAGATGTTTCACACAGCACACATTTATTAATAATTAATCACTGAAACACCATGCAAACACAGATAAGTTGTATCTCACATAAAAAAAATCTAACTTCCACTGATTGAACAAAATATTAAGAACCTTAAAGTTTCTCAAACTAAAAAAAATGAACTAATCACAGCCGAAAATGTTAAATGGACAAACCAAGCATATTTTTGCTCACTGTGTAAAGTTTATGCTTCTAAGAATAAAGTCTATAAAATCACATAAATCCTGCCTGAGCTTATCTTACCTTCTGCCAGCAACCAGGCATCGGTAATCCATCTGGGCCCTGTTTGACAGAAAAGCAACAATGAGAACTGAAACATTTACCGTACGGTTTGTTGTTAATGCGTGTAACGTCTTACAAACAAGCCTCATTAATAAAATAATTTTATGAAACACCCAACACTTGTCAGAGATTTAAGTATTCAGTAAAAAAAAAAAAGTTTATTAAACTTGACTTCTTTTGGGTTAAGTTTGGTAGACGAGCTGTTAGGATTAAAAAAAAAAAACGTTCAGTAACATCCAAATCATTATCAGGCTGTTTTTATAGTTGGTTATCTGGTTATAGTTTTCATTAGGAAGTGATTAGTCTCAGTTTGCTAAAGTTTTTCAAATCTTACTCTGGTCTGATGATAAAGCGACTTAAAAATTGTATTTCAGATTTGTTCCTTATTTATAGTGTTGGAGGCTAACTTAAAAAAAAGAAAAAAAGAAAAACATTTTGAACCTCAAGCCTAGGCTACGATCCCATCAGGCCATCAGTGACACCCTAACATGGCATAATCTTCCTAGATGTTACTGCATCCTGACATGCTCAAGGGTATCATGTCAGTATGGGTGCGATTGTTGGTGTACACCAGGGGTCTGCAATCTGCGGCTCTGGAGCCACATGTGGCTCTTTGGTCCCTCTGCAGCGGCTCTTTCAAGCTTTGACCATAACTGAAACAAAACTGAATTTGATTGGTTGTTATAACTAAATTTTAGCAGTTTTCCTGTCATTTATTTAGCAAATATATGAATACTAGAATCATTACAAGGAGTAAAACACACTCACTTTCACTTTACGCTTTATTTCTTCAAAGTAAGATAGGTAATTTTCCTACAATTAAAATATATCACATAAGAATGCATAGTTTATTGTTTTAGTTTTTAAAAACTGGGAAAAAACTATATTATTTTTTCCTTCTTCACAAGAATCTCGTCCTTTATTTAGTCAGAATGTAAAAATATCAATAAATGTAAAAAAATCATTAGATTTTTTAGTTTTATAAAATTACCTCTACTGTCCAGAAAAGCGCCCTCCAACAAACTTAAAGGGGTCCGTGGGCCACCAGTTGAGAATCCCAGTTGTAGCAGGTATTGTGGCTCCGGACACGTTTAATTTAGTGAACGAAGGGGCAGAAATGGCTCTTTTGATCGTAAAGTTTGCAGACCTCTGGTGTACACAGTAACTGTCATGGAAATGTGCTGCTTAGGTACATAGTGTGGCAAGAGGATGTGAAAAATAGCAGTAAAAAACAATTTGTTGAGTACCAAAAGCGTTGCATCATCACGATTGCCTTTATATTTTGAAGATTACCAAGTTTGTCGCAAGCCAGCCATGTTCTAACAGGTCACGTAGGTCATAAAGACCATCGACGGGTCTGAATCTAGTGGGAGAGGAGCCTTGGAGGGTCTCCATATAATCCAGTCAACATTTTGATTAAATGTTACAGTTCTATGTCATATAGGCTTCGCCCTTTAAGGCTGTCGCTGATGGGTTTATCCCGTTATGCGCAAGCATCGTACTGAAAAAAATTAGTCCACGCCCACCTGCTGTGTGGGCCCCACCCGATCCGTATAAATTACGTTAAGAGCGGGTAATCTGCTCCCAGTTTTTCTTCAGCAAGCATAATAAACAAGAATAAACTGACCTTTTTCGTCGAGATGTCCAGCTCCAGCACCATCCGTTTGTGTCCCTCGTGCAAGACCGGCTACTTGCTTAGCTTCGACCGGCACGACACCTGCGAGGGATGCCTGGGTCCCCGCCACGTCGCTCGCGCTTCCTCCTGCCGCCTCTGTGACGAGCTTCCACCGGAGGAAAGGCAGAGGAGAGCAGCCTTGTTTAAGGCTACCATCGAGGACTGCCTGTCCGTGGCGGGAGACTGTTCGCTGGACGACGCCATGGATTTCTTCGACGCCGGCTCTCGGAGTGAATCGGATGATTCCTCTGGGACCGGTGACGCTAGCAGCAGCCCCGACGCTCGTTCCCTCCCGGGGAGCGCAGTGTTGGAAAGAGGGAGGCCGAGCGGATGCTCGACTCCCCCGGGGTTTCCCGCCTCAGCGACCACATCGCTCCCTGCCGTGGGCGCGCTCCTCTCGGAGCTGCCCGCCATTATCCGGGAAGCTGCTAGCGTTAAGGGGCTCTCCGTCCCCTCACCCCCCCCGCTCAGATCGGATGATCTTGCGGGAAGGTTTGGCTCCACGCCGGCTCGCCGTCCTGATCCCATTTGGCCTCGTTTTCCTGCGGTGACAGCGTACTGGAACGAGGCCGCAGCCGGTCCTGGTAGGTTAAGGGCGCCCGTCTCCACTTACGCCCCTATCACCAGAGTGGAGGGGTTCACCGAGCGGGGCTTTCCCTCGGTACCCCCCCTTGAGCCAAGCCTCGCGGAAGCCTTCGGAGCGAAGATGTCCAGGCTGGAGAAGCGTCCCGTCCCTCCGGGGAAACACGACCAGGTGGCGACCGCGCTCTCCAACAGAGCCCACCAGTGTGCTTTTCAGGCGGCCGCGGCTAACAACAACGTGGCGCTGTTAGCTTTTAGCATGTCGAAGAGGCTGGAGGCCTCAGGCCTGCCGGAGGAGACGAAGAGCTCCCTGTGTAAATCGGCAGACGCCGTCCTCAACATGTGCGCCGCTTCCACGGTTTGCCTGTCGAGGATTGCTTCATGGATGACGGTAATCCAACGCTCCATCTGGCTCCGTCACTCCCCATTGCTGCCGGAAAAGCTGCACAAGGACCTCATGGAGGGCCCCATCTCATCGGACGCGCTGTTCGGAAGCAGCTTGAAGACCATGCTGGCGAATTCCAAACAGTCGGAGGAGATGTCGGAAGCGGTACGTCATCTCATCAAGCCGCGCGGCTCATCCCGTCCCCCAGCTCGCTGGAAGGATCGCCGAGAGCAGAGGCAGAAGCACCGACGCTCCACGGCAGCAGCAGCTTCGTCTCGCCCAGCTCCACCACCAGCCCCGCCCGCCAGAGACCACCCCTCCTCAGCCCGGCAGCCTGCACTTCAGCGCTTCCCCAGAGATCGCCTGCAGACGGCGCTCGGGTCAAACAAACCGCAGAGCTCACGAGGGAGAAGGTTTAAGAAATGACGGTCTGCGGGGGATGTGTGTATGAACGAAACAGGAAGTGAAATAAATGATTTTTCAAAAATCAGAATGCCTGTTTTTAGCCAGTCTGTAAGTTCGGATGAGCTCACAGCCGCTACACACACATCCTCCACACAGAGAGAGCCGGTGTCCTTAAATAAAGGTTTTTTAAACCCACCGCCGCTCCTTCACATGCCCAGACGCTCACGTGACACCACGGTAAGCGAAATATCTTGTTGTCAAACAGAACCGCACGATCACCACTCAAACGGTGTTAAACGCGCACCCGAGCGAGACAAGCACCGTCCATCCAAACGGCACTGTGCCGATGATGCACGCACAGCTGCCCGGCGCTCACCGGCTCACATCGGGATAAATGTGGGACCGCAGGCCGGGTCCGGTGGAGGTCCCCGCTCTCAGCAAAAACAACACACGTTTTTCCTGAATAAACGCGAACAGCCGTCATCCATCGCGCCTCTGCGACCAGCAGCTCACGGCGGCATAAGCGTGAGACAGCTGAATGAATCCAACGACGGGCCCCGCCCTCAGCGAGAGCGGCGCGCGTCCCTCCAGAGAAAACGTGCGCTCCCGCGAAGTTCACAACCTTCACTTCGACAGCACGGCGTTGATGACGTCACGCCCTCCACCTCTCAACGTTCGCACAGCGACGTTAAACGTGCAGCCTCTGGATGTCACCAGCTGACACACGCCTCGCCTCAGCGCACACCGCCCCGCCCGGACATGAAGGTTGGTCCGCGATCCAGTCACAGCGCACGGGCGCGCGCAGAACAGCCCTTTCGAGAAAGCCTCGCCTTGGGTCACGCGGAAAACATTTCCGCGACGCATGACGGCGGTCGAGGCGGAGGTTTGGATGACATCCGTTCAAAACACGGCACATCATTTAAACGCACGTCCACTCCACGAACGTCACGCAGAGTGGTTAAAAACATGCTCACCGGACAGATGGATGGACAGAGTGTTATGCAAGGGTTACACGCTGCAGTTTGCAACCCGACCCCCTCCGTTCGGAGGAGTTATAGAGACGGTCCTGTCATCACCAGACCAAGTCTCAGCCTTAAATGCAGAAGTCCAGGAGCTTCTGATAAAAGGTGTAATCTCAAAAGTTCCCAACGAGGAGGAAAACACAGGGTTTTACTCACGCTACTTCCTGGTCCCCAAAAAGACCGGAGGGATGAGACCGATTCTGGATCTGTCAGCTTTCAACAAAGCGATCATGAACAGACCTTTTCACATGTTGACGAACAGACAGCTGTTGGACAACATCCAGAAAAACGACTGGTTTGTTTCCATCGATCTAAAAGATGCTTATTTTCACATACCAATCATCCCAAAACACAGAAAATTTCTGCGTTTCGCCTTTCAAGGGATGAAGTACCAGTACAACAGGCTGCCTTTCGGGTACTCCCTCGCACCTCGCACGTTCTCAAAGTGTGTGGAGACAGCCCTGCATCCACTGCACAGAGCAGGGATGAGAGTTTTGTTTTACCTGGACGACCTGCTGCTCCTGTCTCACTCCAGACAGGAAGCATTGATACAGGCTCAGGTGTTGGCATCACACCTGCTAAATCTGGGCTTCGCCATAAATTGGAAGAAAAGCTCGATTTTCCCGGCCCAGACAATTGTTTATCTGGGAGTGGAATTAAATTCAATTACCATGACGGCTCGCTTATCACAAACAAGAATCGACACTCTAAAAAACCAATTACGCCACGTAAGACCTGGCAAAGTGGTAACAGCTGTCTCCGTCATGAAGCTGTTGGGAATGATGTCATCAGCTCACACAGTGGTCCCGCTGGGTTTGTTACACATGAGGCGCCTCCAGAGGTGGTTTACGCGCCTGCGTGTGGATCCAGTAAAACAAAAGAGACGGATGATCACTGTCCCTCCCTCCGTGAGAGCAGACCTCCGACACTGGGGAAACACCCTGGCTCTGTCAGAGGGAGTCCCCGTCAGCAAACCCTCGACACACGTGTCAGTCTTCACGGACGCGTCTCTGTCAGGTTGGGGGGGGACATGCCTATCTCAAGCAGTAGGGGCGCTGTGGCCCCACCGCACATCAGCCCACATCAATGTTTTGGAGTGTCGCACAGTGCTGAATGTGATTCAGCATTTTGCTCCCGTGCTACAGAATCAACACGTGTTGATTCACACAGACAACATGGTGACTGCTGCGTACATAAACCGCCAGGGGGGTGTGCGTTCAGCCCAGATGTTACACATTGCACGGAAGCTACTGTGTTGGGCTCACCAAAATCTGCTTTCCATCAGAGCGGTTTACATACCCGGCGTTCTGAACAGAGGAGCAGACGTGATGTCCAGGGGCGGTCCACGTCACGCGGACTGGACCCTCCATCCAGACCTGATGTTTCAGACGTGGCAGAAGTTTGGCAAAGCAGCTGTGGACCTGTTTGCGACGCGAGAGAACGCTCAGTGCCAGTTATGGTTTTCCCTGAGCCCTCGAGACGATCCACCGCTGGGGGTGGATGCATTTGCCCACAGTCCGTGGCCCAAAACGCTTCTGTACGCGTTCCCTCCTCCTCCTCTGATTTTACGGTTCCTGAACCGAGTTCAGGAGGAGGGACTGACAGCTCTCCTGGTAGCTCCCGAGCGCGTGAACGCACCATGGTTCCCGGTCCTGCAGCGTCTGTTGTCAGGTCGCCCGTGGAAACTGCCATGGAGGGAAGATGCTCTCCTTCAAGCAGGAGGAGCGATCAGGAGTTACCCGGAAATAGGCCAGCACCTGTGGGTCTGGCCGCTGAGCGGTCCCGCTTAGAGAGGATGGGTCTCCCTCAGGAGGTAGTGCGCACAATTCAAGATTCACGTGCTGCATCTACCACAGCCCTGTACACATCAAAGTGGACGGCTTTTCAGCGCTGGTGTACAGAGAAAGGTCTGGAGGCCACCTCATGTCCATTAGGTGGCGTGCTGTCCTTTCTTCAACAGCTGATGGATAGGAAGTTGGCGTTCAGCACGATTAAAACGTACGCTGCAGCCATCTCTTCCTGCCACGAAGGGTTCGGGGACAGAACAGCTTTTAACCACCCGCTGATGAAGCGGTTTTTAAAAGGTGTACAAAGACATAGACCGGTTTCACGCCCACTCGTTCCACAGTGGGATTTAACGCTGGTCCTGCGAGCCCTGATCAAAGCTCCTTTTGAGCCTCTGGATCAAGTTTCACTTAAATTCCTGTCTCTTAAAACAGCCCTGCTGCTGGCTTTAACATCCGCCAAGAGGGTGAGTGATTTATCTGCCCTCTCTGCCGCTCCGTCATGTCTCAGAATCCAGGCTGACGGTAGTTCAGCTGATTTAAGACCAAACCCAGCCTTTATGCCTAAATGCATCACGAGCTCTTTTAAATCGAGACAGATATCGTTGGAGGGATTCTTCCCTCCCCCCCACAGATCAGAAGAAGAAGCATCTTTTCATCTTCTCTGTCCGGTGCGGGCGTTATCGTGTTACATAGCGCGCACAGCTGCAATGCGTCAAACTCAACATTTGTTTGTGCATTATAGAGATGCATCCGCAGGCCGCCCGTTATCCACCCAGCGCTTGTCACACTGGCTGTGTGAGGCCATTTCTGAAGCCTACAGAGCATCAGATCTAGAGCCTCCTGTCAACCTCAAAGCACACTCAACCAGGGGTATCGCATCTTCGACTGCTCTGCATAATGGTATGTCAATGCAGGACATTTGCACTGCGGCTGCATGGTCATCACCCTGCTCATTTATTCGCTTTTACCTACGTGATGTAACGGCTCGTTCCATGACACATTCTGTCCTTAGTGCTCTAACAGAATGAATATTGTTGTTCTCATGGAACTCTGTTTAAGCTCACATCTGTCTGCATGCATTACAGTGTGAGATGTTGTTATCAGCCACAAGTTGTGTCTGTGATTCGGTTCTATTGTCACTAATCAGTTCATGACTATTGTTACCAATCAGTTCATTTGTTCAATAATCAGTTCATTGATATTAATCTGTTTATACTGTTCAATCATGAATCAGTTGCTTCATGCCCCCCCCCCCCCTCCTCTTTTCAATATCTTCCCCGTTGAAGTTTTTCCGGGGCATTCATGCTGTCAGAACGCATAGTTGCACAACATGCGTCTGTGCATGGCACACAATTACGCGATGCGTAATTATGCACATGGGGAACTGAGTGGCAAGACGTTTTTTGGGCAAGCTTCCGCTTCTTACTGGGTTCGAATGGACCCAGTGAGGCGAGGACCACATCCGCTTCGCCCTTAACCCATCAGCGACAGCCTTAAAGGGCGAAGCCTATATGACATAGAACGTTGGTTACGTACTGTAACCCCAGATTCTATGAATATAGGCGTAGCCCTTTAAGCGTCGGGCCTCACTGGCTCCTGAATAGCTGAAGAAAAGAATAAGCTATTTGGGAGCAGATTACCCGCTCTTAACGTAATTTATACGGATCGGGTGGGGCCCACACAGCAGGTGGGCGTGGACTAATTTTTTTCAGTACGATGCTTGCGCATAACGGGATAAACCCATCAGCGACAGCCTTAAAGGGCTACGCCTATATTCATAGAATCTGGGGTTACAGTACGTAACCAACGTTTGTAAATGTTTGCCTGAATTCTGACTGTAACTCTGAGTGTTAGTCTAAAAATACACAAATTACATTAATCATGCACAAAATACACAACAATATGAACATCATGCACATTATGATGAGTCTACTGTTTAAAACATGGCATTTGGAGACACTAAAACCAAATCAGTTTGTCTTGAGAAAAAAAAAACAACAACTAAATGAATGTTTAAGGAAATGAAAATGATGTAACTTGAAAAGTTGTAAAGTTTACCTATTATGACATGATCCTTTCAGTGTGTGTAGATATGAGATCACTGTGATGTCCCAAAACTTAAAACCACCCAATTTTCTACCAAAAGCATCAAGTGTCATGTATTGTTTCAGCAATAGAAGAAATCAAACAAACCAAAAACTAGTGAATACATATAGTATACTGTAGGTCTGCAGCAAATATTTTAATCTTTTTGTTTTTTTTTGTAGTGGTCTGGCCCAATTGGTACAAACAGGAAGAAAAAAGGGAAAGTTAACGAGTTGAGACAGGGATCCATGCACTTTTAGCATGGCTAACTTATGGGATCTGTGTTAGCGTCAGGTTAAGAGAACCCAGCAGGGAGGGATACATTTTAGGGAACTTTTTAATCCTAGCTTTAATCAGGGTAAGGACAGGAATCAGTTAGAAGGATACATTAAAGCCATGGTTCCAAACCCTGGTCCTTGAGGAATGCCATCCTCCATGTTTCAGTTGTTTCCTTGCTCCAACACGCCAGATTCAGTTATTTAATGACTTCAAGTTCTGCAGAAGTCCGTTAATCACCCATTCATTCAAATCAGGTGTGTCAAAGCAGGGAAACAAGTCAAACATGCAGGATGGTGTTCCTCAAGGACCACGGTTTGGAACCACTGCATTAAAGAACTGGTGATCACTGATTTATACTGTAGATGGAACAATGTGTGTAATCTAAAAGAGGCTGCTTGCAGTCAAGATGTTAGTTATATACTGTATATGTTTGTTTTAAGCTATCTTTAAATTGAAATTGTGATTAAAATGACCATGCTTGTCAAGTTTTTGTTTCATGCATTAGTTTGTGGGTCAGTAATGGCCTGCAGGTGAATTACATGCATAGGTAAGAAGTTTTGGGAAAGAGAGAAATACTGTACCAATTGGCACGGGGCATCCAGCCCGTCCAGACCTGGCTGACCTGGTTCCCCCTTTTCACCCTTAAATCCCCGGAAACCCTGTTTACACAGATGACCTAGGAGTGTTACTAAGAGAGAAGTGGAAGACCCTTAACCCCCTTCATCTGTCCCTTGTGACAGAACCGTGGGGAGGGTCAGGGAGGAGCTGCCCTGTGAGCTTGCCGATTCCACCATTTCTTACCAGCAAGTTTTGTGTCCAAATTGCAGAGTTATGATGAAGCTCCAAACAGTGTGTCAAGATAGTGTTTTCTAATTTCAAGGCGACAAAACTGGTCTCGGTGTACCCATAAGGAGCTCCTCCCTGTTTAGAGCATCTGCTCTTCATGGCTGGTATACGCAAATTCCAGCTCACAGATGAGACATACCAATGGGCAGGGTGCATCTAATCCCGGAGCACCCTGTTCTCCTTTCTCGCCCTTAGGCCCTTTTTTGCCCTTCTTTCCCTTCTCCCCCTGTGGATACAAGTGTTTAGTCAAGTTAAATTCATTTTTCAACAAGTATGTCTACCACAAGAAGGGATTAAAGAGGGCTTTCTGTGGCCCAACAGAGGTAAAAAGGACATGGTCAGATAGGTTAGATAGGAGAGTGATACCAGGCAGTTTTGGGTGTTTTTAAAAGGCAGCGGACAATAAAAGGGGAACAAGAAAGGGAAAAGTGGAAAACACTTCATTATTAAAGTGGTGTCAAGGGCACAAAGGATGAGAAAGACTAGCAGGGAAATCATCCGCCAGAGAAACGAGTACAATTCAAGTTCAAGAACACTCTGGAAAGGTCTGAACTGTTCTCACAACATGTTGATACAGAACTGCCGAATCCCTTTCCCCACGTTCCCTATACCATTTAATGTAGCCCTAACCCTACAGTTTGAACATTCATGCCAACTTATAGGGGTGTACAGTGATGGGTGAAACGGTAGGGCTTTCAGGCTCATTAAACAGAGGAACATTTCAAACCAATGAGTACATTCTGTGCTAGCAAAAACTCTTATAAATTAGTTTTCTCAGGTAAATCCTTGTATTATCTAAAATCCTGTATCCCAATTGTTATTAAACGGTATTTATAGTAAAAGTGACAATGTAATTAATTCATATTTTATACCCATTTGCTCACAGAAAGGTGGTACTATCCTTAGTATTCATTGGGTCAGAGGCAAGGGACACCCAAGACTGGTTGCCAGTCCATTACAGGATGTCATGTCAGTTTGTATAAAAGGAATCTGTTACTATTGATGGTATATCAGCTTCCTGAAGAAATGTCACGTTTTGTAGTAAAGTATGAGAACCACTTCCCCTCATGAATTCAAATTAAGCGCCAAGGAATAGTGGAAAAGGTGACTAGGAAATAGGATTCAGCTAATTTAAATATTTCTTTGAACATCTGTTTGGAAAATTTCTATTTTTACCAGATTGAAAAGCGAATCACTACTTCGAACGCAGATGGGACCAAAGCAAATTTCTGCAGTCTTAAAAAATAATTTAGAGTTGCAGGTTTGGACAGCATTGTCTGATGAAACAAATTCAGTTAAAGCTTCAAGCACTTTATTCAAGATTAAAGCGCTTCCTGTTCTTGTTCTTTTGGCTGCTCTCTTTTTCAGGGGTCACCACAGCCAACGAACTTGCAGGAAAGATTTAGCGATTGTTTTATGACAGATGCCCATTCTGAAGCAACCTGGGCTCGAACCAGCAGCTTCAAGGTTACAAGACCATAGCACTGACCACTGAGTTACCTCAGCCTCTTAAATTCAAACGCTTCTAAAACCCTGAAAATCCCACAATGAAACGCAAGCATTTACAAGGGTTTCAGCACCCCCTATAAACCCTGTGTTTTGGTGTCTTGACATATGTCAATCTTAAAAACCACTTTACTTCACTGTCAATTTTACATTACAGTTGTTTACACTGAATAATGTAGTTATTAGCAAGTGCAACAAAGGGCAGCAGCAGCTAGCTATAGCACTTTTGGCGGGAATATTATATTTCTGTGAGAATAACCACAAAACTGAAAGTGCTATAAAGGTTTTAAAACAGCATTCGCTTTAAACGCTCCACTCAACTTTAACATCAGATCCTCTTAAACTAGCCATTAGCTCGTCAGACTGGTTAAAATTAACCATTTCTCCAAACTGAGGTTGTTTAAAGAGTTATCTGTAATTAGTAAGTAATGAATATCCGACAAAGTTGAGTCAGGTCCTCTGGATGAGTTTTTTTCTTGTTGAAAGGTTTCACCTTTCATCCAAAAGGCTTCATCAGTCCGAGGAGCCACAACAAACTCAGTCTTAAAAGCACCTTCACATAGTGGGTCAACGAGTTTGATGGTGCAAAGATAGTTTCTGGAGCCCGCCCTCTCCCCCGCTGACTCGTTTGAGGCGGTCATGGCCAAAGTGGTTCAAAACATCGTGATTCATGGTCAACAGCCTTCGTTCAACGAAAGACGAAACGTTTGAACACAAAGAAACCGTCCAGTGGACCTGACTTAACTTTGTTGGATTTTTTAGGAATACTTTACACCTTTTAGTCATTTAAACAAAAACAAACATGGCGATTACAGAAAGAGAGAAACCACTGTGGTAAAATGAAAAAGGTAATGAAAGGTTTCCAACAGGCTCAGGAAATAGGGGAAGTGAAAGGTAACACTTGAGGTTCATGCATGGAAAACACAGAAAATGACAGAAATATGGTTACGAAGAGCCTGTTGTCAATGGACATGTTTGTGGTAACATGTTGATTTCACTTTGTGACGCTTGATAATGAGATCAAATTTTAAACAATGAGATGGCAAACTGTTGAAGAGACGAAAACAAACGCTGGTTTGAGAGGACTTGGAATGGCATTTTATTCCAAGGCTGGATTCCAAAACTGTAATCCAATTAGTTCATTTATGTATGAAGCATACAGTTAAACAGTTTCTGCAAAAATAAAAGAAATTCATTATGATAAGGGGGATTGAACCTTTCTTTTTATAGTTATTCTTTATATAGAAGCTCAAACTTGAGGAGAGTAAAAAAATACTACAAAGCCAACAAATATTTATAAAATAAGTCTACACTGTCCATTGACATCAGCCCTCTGTAGTGTTAGTGGTAATAACACACGCCGTATCTACATCTACCTTTTCTCCTCTTTCCCCATCGTTGCCTTTATCTCCCTTTAAGCCTGGCAACCCCTGTGAAAGTACAACTTCACTTAATCAAACTCTGTCTTTAATGAGCAAAAACAGGAGAGGATTTTCATTTCCATACAGAGCTTCCATAAAAACACATCAAGATCAAAGAAATCTGAAGTTGAAGGGAGGTGAAAAGGAAACAATGAAGGCAAAAAATTAAAGAAGTCTGCAAGAAAGTATTCATGGAAATAATACGTTTGATGGTATGTAGTTGCATAAAAAAAATCAACTTCATAGAATCAATTGATGCACAGAACATTAGCACATCTTATCTCAATCTTTCACCACTTATCTGTAGTCGGGTCAAGGAGGCAACATGCCCCGAGGAGAAACCCAGACATCCCTCTGCCTGTCATAGTCTGTGTTTTTCTGTTATTTATTTAGTTCATTCAGTTTATCCTTAGTCTCATTTCCCCTTGTGGTTTATGCTATTCTTATGTCACTTGTGTTTTGCTTCAGCCCCCTGTGTTTCGGGACCAAGATGGTGAAGAGATAGGGAAGCCAACTTGGAGCCAGAACGTCGCAGTTTGACGTCCCGCCATTCCAAGGCCATGTCATGGTGTCCCTGAGAAAGAAGCCCAATCCCCAATTGCTCCCCGGGTGCTTACATAGCTGCCCTCTGCTCCAACTGGGTGTATCTCAGGTGTGATGGGTTAATTCAATTCTATTCAACCCAAAAATACTTTATTGATCCCAAAGGGAAATTATTTGTTGTTGTAACTCGTTATCCTCATTTCATTAAGAGATGTTATAGATACTGATGGCTGTAGGTAGGAAGGATCTCTTGTAAAGGTCCATCCCACAGTGGATCCTAAGAAACTGGCTGCAGATGCCGTCCGATCCGTCCACCCAGACTCGGCTGGCCTCTCGGTTCCCCCGGGCTGTAGGACCACCGGAATGCCAGGCAGAACTCCTCCCAGAGCGATGGCCACTCCTCCCAGCAGTCTGCCGAGCTCCTCGTCGCTGCGGACAGACAACTGTAGGTGCCGAGGTACGATCCTGTCCTTCCGCTGTCATGAGCCGTGTTTCCTGCTAGTTCCAGGATCTCAGTGGTCAGGCACTCGAGCACAGCCGGCAGGTAGATGAGAATGCGTCCACAGAACATCCTTTTCAACTCATTTGAGATTTGGGGCTGTAGTTGAGATATTATTTGAGCTTTTGAGATGTTAATCAGTTGCTGTTGGTTGTAGAAAACTGCCTTGTTGCCATGGTTACACATCGTAACAAATGTACAAAACTAAAAAAGTTTCAGTAAAAATCCTTCCAGCTGCACAGCATCTGATACCAGAGGAAACAATCATCCAAAAAAAGTGATTTACATCCAGAAAAAGAGGAATTAAAGTTTCCAAAAGCAAAATCTCAGAATGAAAGTAACGGAGCTGCTCCAACATACAGCCACCTTGAGCGGCGCAGTTCTAGAACCAAAAAAGAAAAGAAAAAAAAAAGTGAAATGAAGAGAAAAAAAATAAATGAAGAGAACTAATGTCATCATGTCACGGGCAGCACGGTGGCACAACTGGTAGAGCTGCTGCCTCTCAGCGAGCAGGTCTTTGGTTCAAACCCCGGTCCAGGGGCCTTTCTGGGTGGAGTTTGCATGTTCTCTCGGTGCATGCGTGGGTTTTCTCCGGGTACTCCGGTTTCCTCCCACAGTCCAAAAACATGCATGTTAGGCTGATTGGTAACTCTAAATTGTCCCTAGGTGTGAGTGAGAGAGTGAATGGTTGTTTGTCTCGTTTGTCTCTATGTGTCCCTGTGATGGACTTGCGACCCGTCCAGGATGTACCCCGCCCCTCGCACAGTGATTGCTGGACATGGGCACCAGTGACTCCCGTGACCCAAAATGGAATAAATGGGTAAAGATAATGGATGGATGGATGGATGGATAATGTCATCATTGTATGGGAACATACAATGATGACAATCTCAGACTTACATTCCATTCCCATGTGTCAGTTCTCATTTTCACCCTCAGCCAGCTGACCACTTACACCTGTTTCCAATATGTAATTACCAGGTGCTACAGCTTTCCACACTCCCCCGCTCTACTTAAACGATCTCTGCTCACCACTCTAACAGAGGTTCGTTGTCTTGACTACCTGTCAGATGTCTCAGTCCTCTCTCCTGTGCTCCAGTGAAGAGTTTGCACTAGTCCTTAAAAGCAAATGTAATAAACAAGCGCTACATACAGACAGATTGTTATGGAAGCGTTTAACTGCTGTTTAACATGTCATGCTATGTGCCCAATGATATGTCGCGTTACGCATCATTGGGCACTTTTAAGCAGGTATACGGAAATTCCCAAGCTTTTCTAGTGGGTATATGCCGTATACCAGCATATCAGGTAGACTACACCACTGCTGTGCTCCATGTGTTTTGTAAGTAGTTGCTGCCATGTCAGTCCTTTGCTTTCATTTATTTAATAAAACCAGATATATTTTACTTGAGCTTATTGCGTCTGCCTGCATTTGGGTTCAATCCCTTCACTGACCGCAATACTTCCAAGTGACGTTCTCCAGCTCCTCCTTGGGAACCTCAAGGTGTATCCAGGCCAGAGAAAATACACAATACCTCTAGTCAGTTCTGAGTCTGCCCCGGAGCATCATCCTAAAGAGACATGCTCCAAAATACCTCCAAGTGGAGGTGTCCAAGAGGATGCCTGTACCACATTACTTATGCCATTTGATGCGAAGGAGCAGTGGCTCTACTTCGACCGCTCCCCGAATGACTGAGTTCCTCACCCCATTGCTAAGACTCAACGAAGGAAGCTTATTTCAGTGGCTTGTATCCAGGAATTCGTTCATTTGATCATGATCCAAACCTCATAACCACCGGTGAGCAATGGAATGTAGACAGACCTGTAAATCAAGAGCTTCGCCTTTCGATTAAGCACTTTCTTAAGCACGACCGACTGAAGTAACGCCCTCATAACTGAGGATGAGGCCCCAATCTGCGGATCCATTTTCTGCTCCATACTACCATCACTTCTGAACAAGACGCCCAGACATTTGAACTCCTCCACCTGAGGCAAAGACTCCCCCAATCTGTTAACACAACTGTTCTTAATTAGCTAATTAATATTAGATGCAGTGCAACATTTAAATAATGTCTTTACCAAGTTCTAAAATTGTTTAAAAGGACAAAAAAAAAAATCATTAAGTCGACTTACATCCAGTCCTGGTGTTCCAGCTGAACCCTGCAGAAAAAAAAAAAAAGTTTTACTGTTGATGCAAAACTGACCTTCAAATTCTTGTACTGACTCAGGCTAATAAAAATGGTGTAAACCATATAAAATGAATGGAAGTTAATAATAATATAATAATTTAGCTTGAACAACCCAAGTAATGACACTAACGAACATTTCATTTAATAATATAATGAAATAATTTATTATACCAACAAGCTCACAACGTTGTGTTAGCTCAAAGAAACTTTATTAAACACAATTGTACATAGACTTCTTTTAATAGATATAGTTCTTGTCAGACTTACTGGTAGTCCATAAGGGCCTCGGGGTCCCGGTTCACCTGGCACTCCTCTTTCCCCCTAAGAATGAATGAAATTTGCATTAAAAGTGATTTTAAAATATCTCTAAAAGCCTGCTCAAAATGAATTTCATAAAAAGAAAACAATGATTGTGTCTTACTACGTCACCCTTTGGTCCAGCTGGACCAGCTGGACCTGGAGGTCCGTCCATGCCCTGCAGAGAGTAGCAATGTGGTAAATCTACATTTTCAGATTAATAGCAGGTCTGAATAAGTTCCCAAGCAAACAAAGCTTCTGCAACAGTTTGTTGTGTCTGGGCTACATCTGGCACACGCAGCTAGGAGACGTGCAACTGGCCACATAGGACATTTACAACACTGCTGACTGTTAATGTATGAGTGTGTTAATGCTCAGTTAATGCAAAACGGGACAAAACAAGAGCCTTGAAATGTTTGCTGTAACAGCTTTCTGTATGGTCTCTGTCCAGAAAACTAAACTCTGTTCAGTTCATAAGACTGATCTTTGTCAAGTACAACAAAAGCTTGTATTATTGGCTTTTTGTGGCAAATAATAAGGTGACATGACTCAAAAAAATAAATGAAAAAAGGAGGGGGTCTGTATGGTGAGGGAGAGAAGTAGACAGACGTTGGGTGGCGAAGCCTCTTGATCACATGACACTCACCCTAATTCCGGGCTTGCCGTCCAAGCCGGAGGCTCCCTGTGTGGTTATGGAGGTATGAGTGACATGAACAAGGCGGGATTAGTACCAGATGAACATTGTTATTAGGACAAGTTGATGGCAGGGTGTACAACAGCTCAATTACACTGTGTGTTACAGGCAGCTTGGCAAAGTATGTCAGTCGAGGCGAATGAAAATGAGGACAGAAAATGGAGAAGGCACACACATGTACATAAACATACACTTAAATGTTCACACTTAGGCGCAACTAAAACATTTCACAGGGTTGTTAAAGACATCAACGGGTTTCTATAAAAATGGTCCGTATTTTATCGTGGTACTTACCGGGAGGCCCAATGGTCCACGGTCCCCTTTGTGTCCTGGTTCCCCTCTCATGCCCTTCATACCGTGCAAACCAGGCTCCCCCTGTAAAATAAACGAACAAGACTATGAAATACGACACATTATACCCCCAGTGACAAAGTATTATACAGCAATCTGTAGAAATGTTTCAGACAAGAAAATACCTTGTATAACATTTGACCTTCGTTTGTGATCTGAATTAGAGCTGGGGTGATAAAAAGTGTACACGATGCATCTAGTGGTGGTACAGATTTGTATCAAGTTTAAATAAATTGTCTTGAGTGGATCAGAAGTTATGGTTCAGACAAGAGAAAGTTAACGGACCTATGGTAGGAGACTATACCGTAATACGTCCCGCCTTCAACTGGCGTATAAAAAAATTAAGCAGAGGAAAAGTTGTTGCATTGATTATGCCATCTGTTCCAGTCTCTTATCTTCTTGGTGCACTCTGGAGTCATTAAATAACATGTTTTGTTAGTGAACGGCAGCTGGAAGCTGAAAGACTTTTAGAACAAACCTTAAGCCAGTATCTCACTGGGCTGTCACAACTAGCAACAAATTGCTAATGGGATTTGCAAGGGAGTCTCCAAAATGTTTCACAACATTTACAGAAGTTCTCAGTTTCCTTGTGAGTCGCAGAGGTTAAGTCTCGTGTGAATTTTGAACATGTTCACAAAACTTGTGTGACAAATTTTCTCTCAAATCAGTCAAAGTTGTCGGGGTATCTCAAACCCATCTTGAACCCTTAGTTTCCTTAAACTCTCGAGTTTCAGAGCTGTATTTTCACACCTGCACAAGAGCTCTTCTTACATGCTCTCCAACATGTGAAAAAGTAAACTGGTAGCACAATTCAACAATATGTGAATGGACAATGGACAATGACAACTGTGTGACCACCCAGCCAAAAATAAAAAAAAACTAAAAAACTGCTTTGGTCAGGTCATCTGGACGGTTTCTTTTGTTGCCGAGACGTTTCGTCCTTCATCCGAAGGGCTTGTTCAGTCTGAGAAGCCCACCAAACTAAACTGAATCCCACAAATAGCTCACTTCCAGAGTGGAAAAAAACAGTTTGCTGGTGATAAGATGGCTTCCGGGGCCCGCCCTCTGCCCTGTCAACTCCTCCTCCAACGTAACCCCTCCGATTTAATATTCAGGAAAGATTGATGATGACACACAGCAACTTCATATATAATTAAAACATATTTAATCATAAAGACAATTGCTAAGTTGAGCTTGTCCATTTTGTTTTGAAAATGACACGAGACGTCCGTCACATTTGATGCATTGTGCTCCAATTCAACACAGCTGAGTTCTGTTCCACGCCTCTTTTGGTTCTGCAATACTCGCTTCATTTCTGAAAACTTATGTTTGTGTGGGACGTGGCTCCATTGGCAATTTATGATTGTTCAGAGGCAGCAAAAATACAGACTGGTCTGTGCAGTCATTTTACGGAACTGTTTTATGAAAGAGCATTGTGAAAACGAGATGTTACACTAGTTCCTGGAAAGTATAAACTTACAGCATGCTACTGTAAAGTTCTGCCAGGCCACAAACATATTTTTAGTGCTCCTTATTTACCTTTAAAATCTGTTTGCTGTTAATATTGCTATGTGTGAAAAATATTAAAGATTGCAAACATTTGCCCTTTTTTCACCCCAATCTAGTACTTTCTATGAATAACAGATTTTTTTTATGAATAAAAAGTTCTTAAAAACAACTTAAGGCCTACATTTTTGTACTGTACATCTGATTTACCTTTGGTCCAGGAAAGCCATGAGGTCCCTGAAAAAAATCAGAAGTGGCAAACATTAGGTCAGACTGTACCTTGTTTTTCTGTTCTTAGAAACAGTTCTTTCTTTGCTAACATCAATCAGGTTTATCTAGAAGCTGAGCTGACTTGAGGTAATGAGATAAACAAGTTTAGAACAATTAAAATTCTTGAGAAAATGTTTTCCTTCCCATATAGTGATGTTGTCAGGAGGTGAAAGGAATACTTCTCAGACCTTCTCAATCTACAGCTGAGGTCACCCAAGGTAGTTAAAAAGCTCCAAGACGGCAGGGCTCCTGTGACGGATGAGATCCGCCCTGAGTTCCTCATGGCTCTGGATGTTGTAGAGCTGTCTTGGTTGACAAGCCTGTGCAACATTGCGTGGGCATCCGAGGCAGTGCCACTGGATTGGTAGACTGGGGGTGGTGGTTCCCCTCGTCAAAAAGGGGGACTGGAGGGCGAGTACTATTTATAGGGGTATAACTCTTCTCAGCCTTCCAGGTGGAAAAATGAGTCTGATTGATAATCGAAATTCATATTTTGGAGGAACAATGAGGGTTATTTCCTGGCTGTGGAACACTGGATCAGTTCTTTACCTTACTAAGGTCCTCGAGGGATTATGGGAGTTTTCCCATCCAGTCGACATGTGTTTTGTGGACCTGGAGAATGCATTTGACTGTTCCTCGAGGTACACTG